TCGGGGCCGGCGTTGGTGCTGGTGTCAACGTTGGTGCCCGCGTAGGCGTGGGCGTGGGTGCTGCCGCTGGCAATGCTGGTGTCGAAGCTATGGTCGATGCTGCCGTAGGTGCGAGCGCCGATGCAGGCGGCGGAGTTGACGTTGATGCTGGCTGCAACTCTGGCGTGGGTACCGGCGTAGGCGCAGGCGTGGGTGCTGACGCTGGCGGTGCTGGCGTCGGAGCTGTCGTCGGTGCTGGCCTCACTGTTGACGTCGGGGTGGGTGTCGGGTCTGACGTCGCTGCTGTCTGCGACTCTGGCTTTGGTGCCGGCGTGGTGGGCGCGGCTGCTGGCGCTGGAGGTGCTGGTGTCAGAGCTGTCGTCAGTGCTGGCGTCGGTGCTGGCGTCGACAGGGACGTCGGTGCTGCCTTCGACGCTGACATTGCCGTCCAGGGGGCAGGCGTGGATGCTGACGCTGCCGGTGCTGGTGTCGGAGCTGCTGTCAGTGCTGGCGTCGGTGCTCGCGCCTCAACTGACGTCAGTGCTGACTGCGACGCTGACGTTGGCGCCCGCGTAGGCGTAGGCGTGGGTGCTGCCGCTGGCAGTGCTCGCGTCGACGCTGTGGTAGGTGCTGCCGTCGATGCTAGCGTCGATGCAGCCGTCGAAGCTGGCGTCAATGCTGGCTGCAACTCTGGCGTGGGTACCGGCATAGGCGCAGGCGAGGGAGCTGACGTCGGCGTTGCTGGCGTCGGAGCTGTCGTCGGTGCTGGCCTCACTGCTGACGTCGAGGTGGATGTCGGGTCTGGTGTCGATGCTGACTGCGACACTGGCGTCTGTAGGCCACCATGCTTCGGCGGGCCTGAAGGCGCCGCCGAGCGAGTGGCCATACAGGGAGCACAGGAGTGGCTGTTACTGGTGCTGGCGTCGCTTGCGGCCGAACGCCGATGACAGGATCCTGTGCGGGCGCTTGCGGGTGAGGCCGCCGATGGGGCGTATCGCAGTGGGGTGTGGATGTAAGCATGGCCGCTGTAGGCGTGCAGACGTGGCTCCCTCTGTTTACGCGGGTCCGCCAACAATGATGTTGTGGGCGTGGTCGCTGTGGACATCGGAGCCGCCGCTGGCAGTGCTGGCGTCGCTGCCGTCGATGCTGACGTCGGAGCCGGCGAAGCTATCGATGCTGCCGTCGGAGTCGGTGAAACTGTAGGCGGAGCCGTCGTCGCTGCCGTCGATGCTGCTGTCGGAGCCGGCGATGCTAACGATGCTGACGTCGGAGCCGGCGATGCTAGCGATGCTGCCGTCGGCGCTGGCGATGCGAACGATGCTAACGGTGCTGCCGTCGGAGCCGTCATCGCTGCCGTTGATGCTGCCGTCGGAGTCGGCGAAGCTGTGGTCGCTGCTGCCGTCGATGCGAGCGTCGATGCTGACATCGGAGCCGGCGTCGGTGCAGCGTCGCCATGGTCGTCGCGGTCGTCGTCGTCGTCTCCTCCTCCCCCAGCGGGGCGGGGCGAGGGAGGGGGCGGGGATGGTGTCGAATCTGTGCCCCCCGCTGGCGTCGAGGCTGCCTGCAGTGCCGTCGTTAGAGCTGGCTTCGGTGCTGTCTGCGGTGCTGGGGTGTGGTCCGTCATGGACGTGGGCGTGGGTGCTGCCGAGGACGATGCTGGCGTCGATATTGACGTCGATGCGGGCATTGGCACGGACGCTGGCGTCGACAAGGCGGACGGGTCATGGCATGGCAGGGCGGCCCCACTGGCGCCAGGTGCGCCTGAAGACTGCACCCTCGCCAGCGGCCCTGGGCGAGGCGTCAGGACAGAGGATGTTGAAAGGCTCATCAATGCAGGTGCCGAGGACATGACATATCGTGGCATGGCGGCCCCAGCAGCCGAAGGTGCGCCTGAAGACTGCACCCTCGCTGGCGGGCACGGGCGAGGGGACAGGGCAGGTGATGACGGTGGGCTCGTCGGGGCTGACGTCAATGCGGTCGGCAGTGCTGGTGTCGATGCTGAGGTCGATGCGACGACAAGCATGACGGCGGCGAAATTGGTGGCCCGTTTGGGGCGGGCCAGACCCGCCGTGCCCTTGGAGCCGCAGGCGGTGCCGATGGCGCCGAAGATCATGCTGCCGACCTTGACGGCCCTTTTAGGGTGGGCTGGACCCGCCGTGCTGGTGGAGTCGACGATGTTGTTGACGACGCTCCTGGTGCCCGTGCCGATGGTGCGCAGGACCGCGTCGACGATGCCGAGAACGATGCCGAAAGTGGGGCCGAGGACGCACCCGAAGTTCAGCGGGATAATGCCGGTGAAGGTGAGGGCGGTGCTGGCGAGGCCGCGGAAGCGCTCCCGGGGGGGGGTCGGGGTCCGGCTGCTTGTCGCGCACGGCGCGACGACGGCAGGCGTGGGACCAGCCCGACCGCTCTCAGCACCGTCTCCCTCAGCAGTCGGGAACCCGACCCCCCCCCGATTACCTGGCCGTAGCGGGGTGGGCAAGTGCTGGGCGAAGTCGTCGGTGTCGGCGTTAGTGCCGTGTGGGTGAGCGCGGTGGTCAGCTCGGTGCGCGCGCAGCTCAGCGCGCAGGTGGTACACGTCGTGCTCTAGAAGAGAGAGAGAGAGAGAGAGAGAGAGAGAGAGAGAGAGAGAGAGAGAGAGAGAGAGAGAGAGAGAGAGAGAGAGAGAGAGAGAGAGAGAGAGAGAGAGAGAGAGAGAGAGAGAGAGAGAGAGAGAAGAAAAAAAAAAAAAAAAAAAAAAAAAAAAAAAAAGAGAGAGAGAGAGAGAGAGAGAGAGAGAGAGAGAGAGAGAGAGAGATCGGACAAGTAGGCGGACCAGGGTCCGTCCGCGAGGCGCACTGCGGTGCGACAACTCGCCAAACACTATTTGCGGCGGTGCAGCCTTGAGATACGAGGGCGGGCAACAAACCCCCTCCCCCGGCGCAATGCGACAGACGCTACAGACGGCGGACAGACGGTGAAGATCTCACGTGTCAGACCGCGTGACGAAGAAGGCCCCAACAAGAAAGGCGACGTGCTGACACGTGGCTAGGCGGCTTGGCAGACCGCCAGTTGGGCGCTTGGCCGCAAAGCGGCGCGCAGGGACGGGGCACCCCCCGCCCCCACGCCCTGACACCGTGGACGCGGGGCCACGCGTACACACGGGCAGGCAGAGGGAGGAGATTAGCGCGGGGCACCAGGCGGAGCGCCGCGGAGCGATGACAGCATAGCTTGGAGGGTGAGTGGCGGCGCAGCACCATCGGGCGAGGGCGTAAGCAGCCGAGAGAGAGAGAGAGAGAGAGAGAGAGCGGCCCTCCCCCGGGCCAGTGTCCTGATGTTCTTGCCCGTCTCGATGCACAACGTGTGATCCAGCGGGCAATTCGGCTGTCTCATCATAGCTCATCCCTATTGCGACTTGGTCGCGGGCTTCGGTTGATAACCAGTCTTTCCTCTGAGAACCGGGGTAAGATGCCAAAGGAACCAAGGTCTCATGTTGACTATGCTCAGTGGTAGAGGATACGAGATGAGACATCGATGAAACTGTAGGTTATCCGTTAAGCAACTGTACTCAAGTATGGGAAGTGAGGAGGCCGGCCAGGGACGGACGACGACACGGGCCGCCCACGCGCCCCCCGGCGCGCTCCTTTTCTCACTCGAGCAGTACATACGGCTTCGGTATACAATGATACCAATGTCAAGGTATGGCAAGGCAGGCAGCAGGAGAGGCAAGTGCATAATGAGGCGGAGAGGAACATATTTACTAAAACAGTTTGGCCACTCGAACTCCATGTGGAGAACCAGCCACTAACGACCGCTTTGGAAGCATAGCGTCGGAAGCTCCTTAATGTCAGCGTAGATACCCAGGAGTGGCACACAACTGCACGCCCAAGCAGGCAACAATTAAAGGAAAACACATGTGAAGAGCTGCTTCGCAAAGGAGGACTCACGACAGCTAGTCGCAGAGTTTCTCAAAGTCAAGCAGTAAGGTAGCGGCCGAAATATTGAGCAGAGTGGCGGTCTCATTCAAGAGTGATCGAAGCAACTAGCCTGCAGACCTTCTGGCCATTCTGAGGTCGCCCCGAACCGCACCCGACTCCATACCTTAGTCGCTTCAGCGAGCAATCCATTGAAGCGCTCTCCACGCTTCGGCTTCGGCACTCAGACGCAGATGGTGGTGAGAACCTGGAGCGGTCATGTGCCATGGTGTTCAACCATCCTAAGCCACAGAAGATACTCGAGCCGACCTTGAGCGGGTAGGCGCTGTAGATCGACCGTCGGCGTGATCGTCCAGCCAACTGGCATTCATATAAGCAACTTGCCTATCACCAGGTCCTGCTTATCCGAAGTAAACTGGTCGAGTGGTTCCTGGCAAGCTTCCTGAGGGAGCCGCCCCCACATGGCCAGAATTGTGTGGATCGTCGATCGAACAAGCCCACAAGCTGCCGCAAGCCTGCCTTCTTGACTTGCACGCATGCAGATGGACCCAGAATCGCTGTGCCGTCAACGACGAGCTCCGCACCACGAGGCTTTGGATCTTAGACCATGTGGAGTGCAGGCGTCCAGGATAAGATCGCCATTGTTCTTGAGCCAACGTGATAAGACGATGTTGGACTTTGGGTTCAGGAAGAGCGGGAAGAGGCGGAAGGGGCGAGGGGAGAAGGGCACGGGAGAGGGGGAGGAGGGGGAAGTGGAGATGCTTAAAGAGCAGGGGAAGAATGAGGGGAGGAGGACGAGCGGCAGGAAGACGACGACGACGACGACGACGACGAGCACGAGAAGGAAAAGAGCTCCACGAGGAGGGGACCCACGCGGAAGAAATGCAGTCCATCCCTGCCAGTGCTATAAATTAAGAGGCCATGGGACACAAATAAATAGACACAAATAGCAGAACTCCCCATATGTTCCTATATTTTCTGGGTTTTCCTCTTCCCCCCCACTTCCTATATTTTCCCATGTGTTTTGGGGAATCGACGATGATTTGTGTCCGTGTGTGTGTGTGTTTTTTTCCCTCCTGAAGAAAAGGGGCGCCGCAGGGAGGGTGCCTCTCTCCTTTCCAGCTCTCCCGGCCGGCCGGGCAGAAGCCGATGAGGCCAGAGTTCAGCATCTCGACCTGCACGGGGAGGAGGGCGGCGCGCGCATGAGAAGGGGGGAGGGAGGGCGGAGGGGAGGAGGGGGAGAAGCGGAAGAAGAGGCGGAGAGGGGGAGGAGAAGAGAGCGAGGAGCAGGGCGAGGGGGAGAAGGGGGGGGGGGAAGGGGAAGGGGGGAGGGGAGGAGGGGGAGGAGGGGGAGGAGCTGAATAGGAGGCGGAGGAGGGGGAGGAGAAGAGAGCGAGGGGCAGGGCGAGGGGGAGAAGGGGGGAGGGGGAGACGGGAGGAGGCGGGAAGAGACGGGACGGGCGCCATGGTCGTGCGCGCTCCGCAAGGGAGTCGACCATGCTCGCTCGGGCATAGCGTGGAGACCGCAGCCACGGCAAAGGGGAGGGAGAGAGGGATGGGGGGAGGGCGAATGAGGAGTGAGGAGGGCGAAGAGAGGGTTAAGTAGGATAGAGAATGGCGAAGAGGTGGCGTAAGCATGCGGCCACGTTTCTCTGATGAACCGTGCAGGCATGAACCCGCGCAAGCGTGCAAGCATGAACGTATCACGAGGACGAGGAAAAGACGGAGAATGAGCAGGACAAGGAGGTGGTGAAGGAGAGGAGGAGCGAGCAGCAGGCGAGGGAGGAGGAGAAAAAGCCAGAGAGCGACCAAACAACCATTCTCCTTAGACTCGATCACGCGCACCTTCCAGAACTTCTTGGTCCCCAGCTTCCGGTACTCGGTGGGCGCCGCGGCGCGTCTCCGTCGTCCCATCTGTCTCCTCGCACCTTCGTCTTTCCATCCCCTACGATCCGTTTCCGCTTCGTCTGTCTCTGTCGCGCCCTCTGCCTCTCTCCCTCCACCTCGCTCCCCCTCTCTCTCTCTCCCTCTCTCTCTCTCTCTCTCTCTCTCTCTCTCTCTCTCTCTCTCTCTATATATATATATACACCCCTCTCCATGCTCTCTCTTCCTCTCTCTCTCTCTCTCTCTCTCTCTCTCTCTCTCTCTCTCTCTCTATATCTCTCTCTCTCTCTCTCTCTCTCTCTCTCTCTCTCTCTCTCTCTCTCTCTATATATATGTATTTCTCCCCCCCTCTCTCGCACCACCCTCGGCGCGACAGCGGGCGAGTCGAGGCTCGGCCGCCGACGCACAGCGTCGGTCCGCGGGGGCGCGGCAGCCTCACGCCGCCAGCTCGCGGCTCAGCACGCGCGCCCCCCCAGCCGGCGACGCCACAGGGGCCCGGCGCGCGGCCCAAGGCGCCCACCGGCGGCAGGCAGGCCGGCCCGCCCGCACGCAGCCAAGGCGGCACGCCAGGCCCAGGCGCACCGCAGCGGCCCACGGCCGCATGGCGGGAGCCGCCGACGTCGTCAGCCAAGCGGCTTCCCCGCGCAGGGGTCGCACCTGCCGGGCAGGCGGCCCAGGTGCAGGCGCTTATTCTCCTGCCCCGCCGTGGCCAGAGCGCCCTGAGGGATACGGCCGCTGCAGCTCTGCTTCAGGCCCTCGGCGCGGTCTGCCCCCTGCAGCTTGGCGAAGGCCCCGCATCTGCAGCAGATGGCATACTGCCCCGCCTTCCGCATGCCGCGACCGAGGTCGATGCCGGGCACGACGAGCTCGCTCTGCGGCGCCTTGCCAGCCTGACGCCGCCGGGGGCTCCTCGAGCGCCACCCAGCCGCAGGGGAGGGCCCCGCCCCGCCTGAGGCGCCGCTGGGGCCTGGCGGCGACGCGGCCGCGACGGCCGCCGCCAGCGCGCAGGCCGCTGCCACTGGGATGCCCAACGCCGCCTGCGCCGCCGCCGCGACTGGGGGGGCTGGCCCCCGCCCTGGGCGGCCCCCCCCTCGGCCTCGGGCGCGCTCGGCCCAACCTCCGCCCCCTGCGGGGGGTCATTGCTGTCAGCCTCCGCCACAAGGCCGCCTGCCATCTCACCTCTGGCAGCAGCTGCCGCACTGCTGGAAACCTCGCCGCGCGACTCGCTCGAGCCAGGCCTGACTGCTGCATCGCCAGCCTCGGAGGCCACCACTGGCGGCGGCGGCGGCGCGGCGCCTGGGTCGGGGCAGTCGTCATCGCTGTCGAAGTCCGCCAGCCCCAGCTGCTGCAGGCGGGGGAGCTGAGGGCGGCTGCGACTTCAACCTTGACTCGCCGCCTCACCCATAGCCTGGTCGAGGGCCGGGGGCCCCGCCACCGCCAGCGGGGGCATGGCCGCCCCGGGCGGCGACGGCGCCCCTGGCGGCCCGCCGTCAGGCAGGGGCCCCGCGAAGCCAGGCAGCACAGGCAGCTGGGCCACTGCAGTCGGCCCGATCAGGCCCTCGATCGCCCTCACCACCTCGTCGATGGATGCCCGCGACATCGCCACCACGTGGTGCCATGTGGGGAAAAGGCAGGTCTAGCAGGTGCCTGCACGTCGCCCGCCGCACGCTGGCCTTGCGACGCCACGCCTGCTCGACCATCTCCTTGACCGTCGCCTGGACCCCGACCGAGCCCACCCCCTGGGCCGCCTCCTGGTAGGCCGTTGCTTTCGCGGTTTGCCTGAGCCATGCCACGGCAAACCTCGCTGCCCAGGCCCACCAGCCGTGCACCGCGCCGTCGGGGCCCCTCAGGTCGAAGAGCCAGTCGCCCGCAAAGACCATGATGGTACGTCTCAGCAGCTGCAGGCCCTGGAGCGTCGCGCGCAGCGGCACCGACGTCGAGCTGCTGCCGGGGAAAGGGGGGACGATCCCCCCCCCTCCCCGCTGGCCCCGCCGCCGTCTCCGCCAGGCGCTTGCGGCGGTTGGGGGGCCCTCGTCCTCTGCGCCAGGCCGCGGCCTCGGCTGTGGCGGGCAACCTTGCTGCGCCCGTGCCGCGGGCCCCCCGCCTCTGCCAGGCAGGGGGCGGAGGCGTGCGGGAGCGGTTCCGCTGGGCCTCGCCCCCACTGCCGGCGGCTGCGCCTTGCCTCCTGCGCGCGCGCCTGGCCTCCAAGGCCGACGCCTGCAGGCCCCTGATGAGCTCCCTCTCGCCGTCGGCGGCCGAGCACAAGCGCTGGCGGCTCGCGCCCACGTGGAAGGCGCCGCCGCGGTCACAGAGGAAAGCCCGCCCCGCCGCCATGCAGCCCCGGAACTGGTGGACACGCACCCTGAGTGCCCCACCCTCCAACTGCAGGGCTTGGTCGATGTGGGCCTCGCGGTTGGGGGCGCCGTTCTGCCAGCCCCGCTCGCAGAACTCCCCGGCCTTCCGCAGCTTCTCGGCGCCCAGCCTGTCCGCGCTGACGCAGTGGAAGAACCCGCTGAATGCAGCTTCAACGAGCAGCCTGCACACGTAGCCCACGCACTCCTGCAGCAAGCACGCATACGCATGACTCTGGTCCTGCAAGTCCATGATCCACCAAGCCGCCAGCTGCATGAGGACGTCCTCTAGGTCGCCTGGACGACTCTCCCACGCCTGCATGGCAAACTTGTCATTGCCCGCTTGAGCAGCTCCACGCGACACAGGCCCCTTGGCCGCTGCCAGGAAGCACTGCACTTTCATCCAGGGAAGTCGGCCTCTGCTGGCGGGCCTCTCCTTCAGCGGAGTCCTCCGACAGCGCCTGTCCTGCAACACCTTCCCGACCCGTCGGCGCCGCCGCCTGAAGGTGCTCCTGCGCCGCCTGTGTCTCCACCAAATCCGCCGACTGGAGGCTCAGGTTGACCGCCTCGGAACTCGCCAGCAGCTGCGCACCAGCAGCGCTCTGGCTCTTTGCAGCTCGCATCTGGCCGTGGCGCGATGGCTTGCACGGCCTGCTATCTAGGAGAGCCCGCGCCTTGCCCGTGTAGGCTTCCTTCCCACAGTGGATGCACTGGACCCCGTCGACCCCCCATCGCCTGGCACTCGTGGCGCGAGAGGCTGAGCTGCGGACCTGGAAAGAGCTTCGGCACCGCCTTCCGCCTGAGCTCCCCGCCCTCCCCCAGCGGCCCCCACAGGTCGACTTGACAGATCCTGGCCGCCGCCAAGCCAGCGCCCGCTGCAGCCCCGCATGGATCGCCTCGGCGGGGCCATTGGGCAACTTGATCTCCGCCGCCCCCAAGTTGGCAAAGAAATCTGCCCAGCAGTTGCCCAGCCAGTCTAGTGGCCTGATGCCCTCCTCCAGCGCCTGCCCCAGCGCGCGGCGGGCAGGGGCCCACCTGGGTCGTGGCGGGGGCATGGCCCGAGCTGGCGCTGCAGCATGCAGCTGCCTTCAGATGCCAGCGTGTCGCCCGCGCGCCGACGCCGCCTCTGGGCTCCAGAAGTTGCCCTCCGCCACGAGCGACTGGAGGTCGCTGACGATGAGGTTCGTCGCCCCCGGCTGCCTCAGCGGGGCCAGGCAAGCGAAGCGCTCTGCTCGCCCCACAGTTGGACTGCCCCTGGTAGCCGGCCATAGGCAGCCCTCAACGGGAACCCGTCGGGCCCGATGGGCCACCTCTGCCCGGCCGCACCCGCGGGCCTCGGGAACCCTGGAGGCGTGGCCTGAGCCACCCGCGTAGACAACTGACGGCCAGGGGACTCATCCTGCCCCCCAGCCGATGACAGACTGAGTCGACGGCGCTGCAGGCGGCAGCGCGGGCAGCAGCGGGGGCCATACGAGGGGTGCAGGTAGCTGTCGCCGACGGCCCAGCGTTGCTCCGCCTCTTGCATCTGTTGGTGGACTGCCACCAGCGGCTTGCGGAACGGCTCCTCCAGCTCCAGCTCGTCGTCCCTGGGCTGCATGACAGCGGCACCAGCGATGCATGAGGGCGTCGCGCGCCTCGCCGCACGCCCGGCACGCCTCGGTGTCCGTGAACCCATGGCTGTGCCTCCAGACATTGGTGCAATGGCCTCCCGACCAGAGCGCCTGGAGCGCACCCTTCTCTGCAGCCGCGACTGCCCGCTGCGCGATCGCCGCGCCGCGCGTGGCCACAGCGCCCCCTCTTAGTGCTCAGGGAGGTGGGCCACCGCTCGGCGGCACTGCCATCTCTGGATGCTCTCCACCAAGGCGTCCTTCATGCCCCTCGGCGCAGTGCGCAGCATGGAATACTGCACCCTGATGCCCGACTTGAGCGGCCAAACTGGCCGCATACTCCAGCCGATGCGCTCGAGAGAGAGAGAGAGAGAGAGAGAGAGAGAGAGAGAGAGACCCACGTCGCAGCCAGGGGCCCATGGGCACTCGCCCAAGTGAGGCGCCCCCCCATCGGCCACCGCTGCCAGATTTTCCCAACTGGCGGCGAGGGCGGCGAGGGGGGCATTGCCCTCCCAGATGCGGCTGGCCAGGCGCATGACCAAGGGGGCCGTGGCCATGTAGATCGGGTCGTAGTCGACCCGCTTCTGGAGGAGCATGACTGCCGCAGCCCCGCACCCCGCCTCGGCGCCCGCCATGACCGCCGCCAGGGTCCGCAGCTGGGCGAGCGGTCGGTCTGCCAAGCCTGCAACGCCTGCGCCATGGCCCGCCGAGGGCGAGAGGCCCGCTGCCATCAGGGCTGCTGCTTGCCTGCCAGCCGCCCGCCCGAGCACGGCCAGCCGCCGCCTCCAATCCACCATGGAGGCCGACCTCCGCTTCTCCTGGGCGCGGAGCACCTTGCGCCCGCGCAGCTCGTCACCCAGGTTGCGTGCCCAGAACTCCCCCTGCAGCCCATGCCGCAGCATCGCTGGGCGCAGCTGCTGGGCCCGACGCCGCGACGAGGCCAAGAAGCACGACTTCTGCGGCTGCACTACCAGCTGGAAGTCGGCGACGCTGTCCGTGAAGCTGCTGAGGGCGTTGGCGAAGTCCACACCGCAATCCGCTCTCGGCCCCGTCCAGGCGACCGCGACGTCGTCCACCAGACCACGCGGCTGCGCGGCGGGGGCGATGGCGCGGGCCCTCCGAAGCGCCCGCAGCGTGAGCACAAGCAGCGGAGAGTTGGCACGCCCGCACCCCGCGACGTTCACCTGCCAGGCCACCACTGCCCGCGACATCGTCTTGAAGGCCGCCAGCGCGCGGGGCTGGCGGCAGGTGGGGAGGGGCATCCATGTGAGGCGCAGCGGGAACTCCAGCGCGCGCGCCTCCTGCAATTGCGCCTCTGGCGTCACCATCTCACACGCCTTCCAGGGGTCGAGGGCCGCCTCTGCCGAGTCCGACCCCGCCAGCTCGGCCTGCTCCTTGGCCAGGTTGAGGTCGCACGCCGAGTCAGAGCTGGAACGCCCAGGCCCCACGCCCCACGCGAGGTTCGAGGGGCGCGCCTGCCCCCACGCATTGGTGATCGGGCGGCGCGCACGGCTCCAGTCTCGAATGGGCGTCGGCATTAGCCCGATTAGGCGGCTGCCGCCGTCAGGCTTGGGGAGCCTGACCCCGACGTTGATCGGGCGCCTGCTCGGCCACTGCAGCAAGTCCTCGCACTTGAGGAAGACAGCAATCATCGCATCGACGGCCTCGTCCGAGATGTCCCCCAGCGCCCTGGGCGGGATGCCTGACTGCCCAACTCCTGTGCTCCACGGGAACGAGCGAATCACGTCCCGCACCGCGCGCCGCTCCAACGGGCCAGGCGCCCCCAGCCCCCTGCGTCCGCGGGCAGACTCATCCGCTCGAGGCCGCGGTACTTCCAGATGCCCCCCCCCCCCCCCCCAGGCCGCAGCTCGCGCTCGACGATGGCATCGCCGACGCTCCCCTCGCAGGCCTGTACCACCTCCTGGCAGGCAGGGACCTTGGAGGCGGCGCGCGCGGCTCCTGCGCCTCCAGCGAACGCCTGGTCGATCCACTCCTCCCAGCGCGCCTGGGCTGCCTGGGAGCCCAGATTCGCATGCCTCTTGCCTTCAGTGCCGATCTTCTTGAGGTTCTTATCCCAGTCGACGCCCTGGACCACGTCGCCGCCCTTCTGGAAGAGCACACGGGCCCATGCCGGCAGGTGGGCCCAGTGGCCGTGGTTCCCCACCTTCTGCGGGAGGTCATGCACTGCGGCGATGGCTGCTCCCCCGCGGCCAAGCACTTCGCGCGCAGCGCCCCGGCGAGGCGGCTGCGCTGGCCGAGAAGGTGAAGGGCCCACTGCGTCGCCGCCGCCCAAGCCTGCGCCCGGGGGGCGCGCACATGCCTCTTGCGCGGGGCCCGCCACACCCGAGATCGGCGGCACCCTCGGTGCCCCTGCCTGCCGCTCGCCTGCGCCCCTTCCCCACGAGGTCCCTCCTGGCGAAGATCTCAGCCTCAATGCCCATGAGGAGGAGGTCCCGTCCCATATGTCCTGCAAGCCTTCGTCGTCGTAGACTGCTGAGATGGCCCTCCTGACCCCTCCCCAGCGCCACGGCGCACGAGCGCAGCCAGGGGGAGGGGGCTGCCTCCTTGATGATCGGCCTCGGCTCTATGAGGACTCGCTGCCAGCTGACCGCCTGGAGCTTAGTGAGGGCCAGGTGCGCAGGCCAGTGCGGCCACGTGCTGGCACCGAGGTCCAGCTGGGCCGACTGGCTGGAGAGCCCCGCCGTGCTTTTGGCCAAAACAAAGTAGTCGCTCCGAAGCCTCCGCCTTGCCTGCACGAGGGCGCACTCGTTGCACGCACCACCGATCGCAGCTTCGTGATCCAGCCGAAGATCAGGACATGTGGCTCCGTGTTCCAGTCGCCCATGACTGCCCAGTGGTGCCCCTCCGCCTCTAGCAGCCTGAGGTAATATGCCAACTGCCACAAAATGCCCAGGTTGTTACCCGAGAGGCCCTCGCCGTCGTGGAGGTAGACGCCCAGGATCACGATGCCCCCTTTCGGACCAGCCCGCACGTGCCCTGCCACCAACCTGCCAGGCACAATCTCAGGTGAGCTGCGTCCATGGGGGGGCTGTGACCTGGATGGAGGTCGGGGCCAGAACAGCAACTCCTCCCACCGTGCCCGAGGCAGAGGTAGGTGAAGGGGTCGCCGCACCCCAGACTCCATGCCAGCCCGCGTCCTTGGCTGCCCTCTGCTGCATCGCCAGGTCCCGCTGCAGACGGTGGTGCTCCTGCACTGCCATCGCCAGCGTTGACCCCCGTCGGCCATCTGCAGGGAATCGCCCAGAGGCCCCCACGACGTAGCATTGACCGTGGACAGTCGACATCCCTTCGCCATCGGAGCACGCACCCTGGCGGCCGTAGTAGCCGCCGCGCCTGGGGCCCGCAGACGGTCGGCACCGTCCTGCGGACGGGGGGGGCGGAGCAAGCGGGGGGCTCGAGCTCCGCGCGGGGCGCGCTGGACAGCGTGCCGGGTACGCTTCCGGGCAAGCAGGCGGCTCGAACTCGCAGTCCCGCTGGTCGCTCACGATGAGGGAGGCGCCGAACGAGTCCGACGTGTGAGGGGGGGGCTGCGACTTCGAGGGGCTGAATCCCTCCGCCCCTCCCTCTGGGCCGCACCCTGGGGCCGACACCCGTGGCCGCCTTTCGGGAGAACCCTCTCGGCCAGCCGAATCTGACATCCTGGGGCCGCACCCTTGATGGCCGAACACCCCGACCAGCCCACTTGGGGCCTGGCCCTGAGGGGGTGACGCGAAGCGTCAAGAATTATGTGCCACCTTGGAAGGAGTTGTCACCTTCGGCGTTTCCCACCAGTCTCCTCCTCCTCCTCCTCCTCCTCCTCCTCCTCCTCCTTCTCCTCCTCCTCCTCCTCCTCCTCCTCCTCCTCTTCGTATCCGTCGTATTCGTATTCGTCTTCGTCTTAGTATTTGCGAGTAGTTTAAGTGTTATTCTTAATATGCTTAATATGGCTCTTATATTTCTTATTATTAGTATTAACATTCTTATGGTTATTATCATTGTTACTATTCTTATTACTATTACTGGTACTATTCATCTTTAATATTATTATGAGTAGCATTAGTATTACTACTACTACTACTACTACTACCACCACCACCACCACCACCACCACCACCACCACCACCACCACTACTACTACTACTACTACTACGAGACTACTGCTACCACTATTACTACTACTACTACTACTACTACTAATACGGGACTACGCGACGACTACTTACTACTACTACTACTACTACTTACGACTACTACTACTAATACGACTACTACTACTAATATACTCTACTACTACTACATACTACTACCATATTACTACCTAACTACTACTTTACTACCCACTACTACTACTACTTACTACTACTACTACTAATACTTACTACTTTACTACACTACTACTACATACTTACTACGACTACGACTACGGACTACGACTACGACCTTACGAATACGACTGGTAGACTACTACTACGATACTACTATACTACTACTATACTACTACTACTACTACTACTACTATTACTACTACTACTACTACTACTACTACTACTACGACTACGACTACGACTACGACTACGACTACGACTACGACTACGACTACTACTACTACTACTACTACCACCACTACTACCACTATTACAATTACTACTACTACTATTACTACTACTACTACTACTACTACTACTACTACTACTACTACTACTACTACTACTACTACGATTACGACTACTACTATTACGACTACTACTACTACTACTACTACTACTACTACTACTACTACTACTACTACTACGGGTAGTATTATTAATCGCCTTCTTATTGTTGCGTATCCAACGTATTAGGAGTATTAGTTTTCTCTGGTTATAAGTATTCCTGATACTCTTCTTAGTATTAGTATTTGTCTTAGTCCTCGTTTAGTAGTACGATCAATCATCTTCTTATTATTATTCGCATTAGCCGTCTTCTTATTATTAGTCTATGATTCGTTTTATTGTTATTAGTATCCGTGTTAGTCTTATTAATCTTAGTCGTCTTATCATTATGATTATTATTCGTGTTATTCTTTTTTCTTAGTATTATGATTAGCCTTATTAGTAATATTCGTATTAATATCATGAGCGTGATTGTTCTCAGCATTCTTAATATTAGTATTATTATGAGTACTAGTACCAAAATTAATATACTGCGTCTTATCAGTCTTGCTCTTCGTATGAATATTACTACTAGTATTCTTGATAAGATTATGATTCGTCTTATGTTTAGTATGATTCTTCTTATTGTAGTACTAGTATTCTTACTATGAGCAGTATTCGTATTATTATTGTTGTTGTTATTCGTATTAGTGTTGTTCGTCGTAGAGTATTCGTATTATTAATACTTATAGAACTATTATCATTATTATTCGTCTTCGTCCTCGTCTTATTATTCTGATAATTCTTATCATCATTAGTATTATATTAGTATTCGTCTTAGTATTCGTATGCTTATTATTCCTAATAATAATACTAAAAATATTATTATTTGTCTTATTCCTTTTCCACCTCCTCCTCACCCTCCTCCTCTTCTCAATTACGGAGCGCTCCAGCAAATGAGACTGAGGAGCCGACGTCTTTCATTGTGTTCCACAGCACCTTCATTCCGAAGCCGAAGTCGCGCTGCCAGACGGGCAGCGAGGTGGGATCCCTCGTCTCCTGCACGGGAAAGACTGTTGGGAGCCAAAAAGGGGCCCGAGTTGATAGGGGTCAGAGGATCGCACCCCATAGCCAGTACTTCGTTGAAGCGTCGGCGGCGTCGAGACGGAGAAGATCAGCAGCAGATAGAGTCACATGGCGCCACATGGCCGATGCATCGGCGATGCATCGGCGACGCCGCGGTAGAGAAGCTCGGGCTCTGGATCACCGATGTGTCGTCGATACGGCGCGATCGTCCGACCCCGCCTACTCAGACCCCATTCGGGCGGCCCGGGAAAAGGGAGGGAGAAATGAGAGTGCGAGGCGGGGATTTATCCATATCCCATATCCACCGCCTGGGAACCGACGTTCTGGTGCCCCAGCGGGCGGTGGATGTGGATATATTCGGGCCCCCCTGGGGCCAGAATATATCCATATCCACCGCCTGCCGAGGTCTCCAAAAATTGATCCTCCAGGCGGTGGTCATGTATAAACTCCCGCCTCGGAGGGAGGAGAGCCGAAGAGACCAGACAGCTCGCGTCCCGAAGGCATCGCGAGGGCCGATTTGCGCGAACTGCCAACCCCTTTGGGGGCCCTGGCCAGGCCCCGAGGGGGAGAAAAAAAGCACTGTCCCGGGCAAGGGGCCGAGGCCTCGGAGGGCCCACGCACCACCCCGGGGGCCTGGGAGAGAAAGACCTGGCACGTCCATGGCAAACCGGTAAGGCCTCGAGCTGCGCACAGACAGCCCACTCAGGCACAGTCGGAGCTCGATCCACAAGAGACCATCCACGAGAAACCCAGTCCTGAAGCCCCAGGACGTGCATGGACTTTTGGCGTGGGAACATCACGCTCTCTTCAGCAAGACCACGGAAACCCAGGAAACCCAGGGCAACCTGGAGGCAAGCAGGGTGTTTTTCCTTGGCATGGGTTTCCACTGCAGCCCCGGCTGTCGGGGGGGGGGCCGCTGAGGCCGACCGGGTCTGCCTGCGGGAACTGTCTGTGCGCAACCCGAGGCCTCACCACTCGGGGGCGGCCAAGAGGGGGGCGTCCAGGGGGGGGGGGGGGCGCAAATCATGGCCGGCGGCATGTGCGCGGCCCAGGGGCGGGGCCAGGGACGTAATGAAGTTACTCGACGCTGAGATCCCCATGTGGGCATCTCACAGTGATGGCAAACTTCGATAGAAGACATTGTCCTTTTCAATATCCGAGTGTCAGCGAATCCACTTGGAAAACGAGGCCGAGAGAGACGCCGACGACCACGACGACTTTAAGTAATTGCTTCCTCCGTTCGTCCTCCTCCTCCTCCTCCTCATCCTCCTCCTTGTCCTCCTCCTAGCTCTCTTCCTTTCCCTATGAACACCTGTCAGGAAAATCCACCTGTGAAGACAAAAACGGGCCCGTGCAATACCCCCTGGAGCCCCCCGTTTGGGAGTGCTGATACCAGCGCCTCGCCTGAGACATCCTCGGAAACTGCTCCAAAAGAGAAGGATGTTGGGCACCCAAACAGGCAAACCGCCTGAGACATCCCTCCAATCTGGACGCGAACGGGCGCGCCCCCCCTTTTGGAGAGCTGTAACCAGCGCCTCGCCTGGGACATCCTCGGAAACTGTTCCGAAAAAGAAGGATGATGGGCACCCAAACAAGCAAACCGCCTGAGACATCCCCCCAATCTGGGCGCGAACGGGCCCGTGCAATACTCCCTGGCGCCCCCCCTTGGGCGTGCTGTAACCAGCGCCTCGCCTGAGACATCCTCGGAAACTGCTACGACAGTGAAGGATGATGGGCACCCAAACAGGCAAACCGCCTGAGACATCCCCCCAATCAGGGCGCGAACGGGGCCTGTGATATACCCCCTGGCGCCCCCCCTTTGGGAGTGCTGACACCAGCGCCTCGCCTGAGACATCCTCGGAAACTGCTCCGAAAGAGAAGGATGTTGGGCACCCAAACAGGCAAACCGCCTGAGACATCCCTCCAATCTGGACGCGAACGGGCCCGTGATATGCCCCCTGGCGCCCCCCCCTTGGGAGTGCTGAAACCAGCGCCTCGCCTGAGACATCCTCGGAAACTGTTCCGAACAAGAAAAATGTTGGGCACACAAACAAGCAAACCGCCTGAGACATCCCCCGCAATCTGGGCGCGAACGAGGCCCGTGATGTACCCCCTGGCGCCCCCCTTTGGGAGTTCTGAAACCAGCGCATCGCCTGAGACATCCTCAGAAACTGCTTCGAAAGAGAAGGATGTTGGGCACCCAAACAGGCAAACCGCCTGAGATATCCCCCCAATCTGGACGCGAACGGGCCCGTGCTGTCCCCCTGGCGCCCCCCTTTGGGAGTTATGAAACCAGCGCCTCGCCTAGGAGAAGGACGTTGGGCACCCAAACAAGCAAACCGCCTGAGAAATCCCCCCCTTACGCAAACGGTGGGGGGTGCTTAGCTACCCCCCCCTTCCCTTGACCCCCCTCTGCCGGAAGCTACCCCCCCCCCCTCCCCCCCTTTACTTTCAAATGGGGGGGGGCGTAGCAGTCCCCTCCCCCCTTTCGGCACCCAGGCTACCCCCCCTCCCCTCCTTACGAAAAGGAAAGAGGGGAGCTTAGATACCCCCCCACATTCCCCTTAACCCTCCTCTGCCGGAAGCTCCCCCCCTCCCCCAGTTTTACTTCCAAAGGGAATGGCGGACTTAGCAGCCCCCCCCTCCCTGTCGGCACCCGACAAGCCTCCCCCACCTTACGAAATGGGAAGGCGGAGCATAGCAACATCCCTCCCTCCCTTGACCTTCCTCTGGCGGAAGCCCCCCCCTGTCCACGCTGTTTGTCCTCTTCCCCTGCAGGAAACTACCCCCCCCTTTCCAAAAGGAGGAAGGGCGGCTACAACCCCCCTCCCTTGAACTCCCCCTGACGGACGATCCTCCCCCGTCGCCGTCGTCGTTGCCGTCGCCATCGCTCGACGTCTTCGTACGACGCCGTCGTCGTCCTCGTCGTCGTTGTCGCCGCCGTCGCCGTCAGTGTCGCCGTCTTCGTATGACCTCGTCGTGGTCGTCACGACGAGGACGAGGTCATGCGAAGAATGCGACGGACGACGCGTGACCGACGACCGACGACGACGACCCAGGGTCAGCGAAAACGAAACCACGACCCAGGGGCTGAGAAAACGAGGAAACGAAGCAGGGTCCGAGAAAACGAGACCACGGCCCAGGGGCCGAGAAAACGAGAAAACGAACCAGGGTCCCAAAAAACAACCAGGGACCGAGAAAACGAGACCACGACCCAGGGGCAGAGAAAAACAGACCAGGGTCCGATAAAACGAGACCACGACCCAGGGGCGACAAAACGAGACAACGAGAAAACAAACCAGTGCACGAGAATACCAAACCACGACCCAGGGGCCGAGAAAACGAGACAACGAGAAAACGAACCAGGGCCCGAGACAGCGAGAACACGACCCAGAGGCCGAGAAACCGTGAAAACGAGAAAACGAACCAGGGCCCGAGAAAACGAAAGAAAAACCCAGAAGCCGAGAAAACGAGACCACGACCCAGGGGCAGAGAAAACGCGAAAACGAACCTGGGTCCGATAAAACGAGACCACGACCCAGGGGCCGACAAAACGAGACAACGAGAAAACAAACCAGTGCCCGAGAATACCAAACCACGACCCAGGGGCCGAGAAAACGAGACAACGAGAAAACGAACCAGGGCCCGAGACAGCGAGAACACGACCCAGAGGCCGAGAAAGCGAGAAAACGAGAAAACGAATCAGTGTCCAACAAAAACAACCAGGGACCGAAAAAACGAGACCACGAACCAGGGGCAGAGAAAACGAGAAAACGAACCAGGGTCGGAGAAAACGAGACCACGACCCAGGGGCCGAGAAAACGAGAAAACGACAAAACGAACCATGGCGCGAGAAAACCAAACCACGACCCAGGGGCAGAGAAAACGAGAAAACGAACCAAGGCCCGAGAAAACGAGACCACGACCCAGAGGCCGAGAAAACGAGAAAACGGGAAAACGAAACGGGGTCCGAGAAAACGAGACCACGACCCAGGGGCCGAGAACACGCGAAAACGACAAAACAAACCAGGGTCCAAGAAAACTGGACCACGACCCAGGAGCCGAGCAACCAACAAAACGAGAAAACGAACCAGGGTCCGAGAAAACAAAACCACGACCCACGATACGATAAAACAAAAAAAGAATCAGGGTCAGAGAAAACGAGACCACGACACAGGGGCCGAGAAAACGAGAAAACAAGACAACGAACCAGGGGCCGAGAAAACGCAAAAGAAACCCAGGGGCAGAGAAAACGCGAGAACGAACCGGGGCCCGAGAAACCGAGACCACGACCCAGGGACCGAGACACCGAGAAAACGAGAAAACCAACCAGCGCCCGAGAAAACGAGACCACGACCCAGGGGCCGAGAAAACAAGAAAACGAGATAACGAACCAGGGTCAGAGAAAACAAAACCACAATCCAGGGGCCGAGAAACGGAGAACACGAGAAAACGAACCAGGGTCCGAGAAAACGGGACCACGACCCAGGGGCCGAGAACACGAGAAAACGAGAGAAACTAACAAGGGACCGAGGAAAAATCATACCACGGCCCAGGGGCCGAGCAAACAAGAAAAAGAGATCAAAAACCAGGGCCCGAAAAAAACACAAAAACCAAACGCCGAGAAAACGAGAAA